GCAAGTCTATCGAATAAATTACAAGTCTCAGAAGGATTAGCATATCTATTGCGGGACAATAACAGCTTATAAATCTCTGAGTAATTAAAAAATCACTAGGTGTTCAAGAAATTTCTAAATTATCAAAGTGAATTTGAGTGACTGCCAGTTCTCTTAATGATCATCAAGTCAAAACAACCCATGAACACATAATGAGTGACTATGATTCATATGCCAAGTGGTGAGTTTAGTTTTGATGACCATTATACATTTTAGATTACATTCATGAAGGGGAGTGCTAAAAAGCCTGTAAGGGCCATAGATTGCCTGGGGGAATGGGAGGAATTTAGGTTTGATGTTTCCCATTTCCCCAGGCACTGCATGACCCCAACAGGTTTAGTGCTCCCCCACAAAGAATAATGTTAGTCAAGGTTAAATTCATCAATGGTATAAGTTAACATTATAAAGACACTGACAAGATGTCTTTAATTATATCATATATTACCTATGAATATAATAAATACTTCTAAAGCCATAAAATTTCCAGATGTTTAAGTTGGGTGGTACAGTATTTAATCTTCCTTTATAAAATGTTAATGGAAGCCTGAATGCTAATAAATCAAATCTGATGCCACATATAGTATGCATAGTTTCTTACAGAGTTTTTAGAAAATTTCCATACCAACTGGAGTTTACTATATGCCTGGAGAAGATGATGCTCTATATTATGTGAATTTTAAGACTGATTCACCTTAACTAACTAATAATGAGTTGTGAAATATGTGGTAAAGCGAACTGGATCTGATGATGGTTGGCATAAACCAATCAATATGCAATGATGAAACCTAGAGAGGATGTCACTTCTTGGCCAGTCAGAGTTTGCTGCTATGTTATATGAAGAGCAGAATAGTTGAGAAGATCTCATGCCCATTCTGGAACTGAACATTGCAACTGCCACTTACACCAGGAAACTTGATGAAAATAACTGAAAATATACTTACTTGGCTATGAAAATTGATGGAAGTGATGGTGGGTTACAGGCAGTCTCCTACTGGAGTATTTTCTTCAAAATACAGTATAAAACATCATTCCAATAATCATACATCAGCACAGACATAAGAGAATCTTTTAGATAATAGATTTCCTCAATTGTCCAACATGAAAAATACATAATTGCAACTGAATGATTTTTAGGTGCATAGTTTCCAAGCAAATCAAGATGAAGACATGGCAAGACAATGAATGTGATGATTTAATAAACTTTTTAATGAATTTTAACCATTTTGGTTCTCTTAGTTTGATAGCTTTGTGTGTGTACATCATCATAAGCCTTGCCATTATTCCTTCATGTGTACTTATGTAAATCATTCATACTTATGTACACGTCAAGTCTTTCAAGGAACATGATATGAAAATTCATCTTCACTCTATTAACTCTGGTTACCTATAAAAAAAAGATACACAGGGTATAGGAGAAGGGCTAAATAACATTAAAACATTCGTCTGAGTTGCGTCAAAACCATTGTACGTTAAACCCTGAGAAAACCTATTAGAATGAGGCTCAGTTAAGTCACATCTTGTCGCAACTGTTTACAGGAGCGGGAGTGGCCGATCAATAATATCTTTATAGGGCAAAAGGCAACTTTAACAAATTTTAGACAAATGAATAATAAAGATGACATCTACCTGGAGTCTACCTGGAGAGTATTCTGGGGATCAATGCCCCCACGGCCCGGTCCCACGACCAGGCCTCCCAGTGGATCAGGGCCTGATCAACCAGGTTGTTACTGCTGGCCACATGTGATCCAACATATGAACCACAGCCTAGCTGATCTGGCACCTACTTTAAGTATCTGTCCAGCTCCCTCTTGAAGGCATCCAAGGGCCTATTGGTAATTCTCCTTATACATGGTGGGAAGCTGTTGAACACTCTTGGGCCCCGGACACTTATGATGTTTTCTCTTAGCGTACCAATGGCACCCCTACTTTTTCACTGGGGGTATTTTGCACCGCCTGCCCAGTCTTTTACTTTTGTAGGGAGTGATTTCTGTGTGCAGATTCAGGACCATTCCTTCTAGTATTTTCCAAGTGTAGATTATGACACTGTAAAGGATCTATGTACTAGTTAAAATCTTGTAATTTTTCAGTTGCCCTTTGCTTAAGAAAGATATTTTACATTTGTTATTATAGAATACCAAGACTCAAAAAAGTGGCATTTTTTCCTACTTGTGCCTCTGGGAAGTGGGTCCATAATGTCCCTCAAGCTGCTCAAGTAGGATTCACATGACAGAGTCACTTGGGAAAAAAATTTAGTGTAAAAATAATGTTGAATCGTGTGACTTAGTGGATATTATCTGTGAACATTTTCTGAAAGTTCGACACCATTATGATGTGTCCTCAACCTAATCTCTGGAATCTGAGGATCACACAGTAAGAAAACTTCCTCAACTAATACAGATTTTACCAATTCATTAGTTATTTATGTAAATATTACCTCAGCATGATAGAAATTAAGCTTTTAATACTTAATGGGGAAAGTCGCACTAAATATCATGATATATTCTTGAAATCTTAGTTCCAAATTCTTAATGTGGCCACTTAAGTACTGGTATGAAGTTAAGTGTGATTTGCAAATGCAGAATTAGTATGTTATTCATGCTTTTCCTTAAGTGGCAGTTAAGAATATGGTTCTAGAATGAGGATAGTATTAAACGAGGGCAAGCATTTGACAACCACTGTACTTAAATTACTAAAACTTACTATAGTGGTTAGTGGTTCCCTTGTTTATGGGCAAGTGATCAACCACACACCTCAGCTGGGAAACATCGCTCCTTCCCGCCCTTCAGCTTAGCTCAATTTTCACTACAAATTTCTCATAAAAATGAGGAATATTTGAAGGCTTACATCACAATTCATTGCAATATAATGCAGGGTTTATCATCAGGTAGCTTCCCTGGGAAATGTATGAGACACTCCTCCCAGCTGGAGAGTACAAGTTGAACCAAGTTTAAAAAATGGATCAAAAAGACAAGAGAGCAGAGGTTATCAGCAAGTTAAAAATTTAGCACTTGTGATGGGCTGTCACCATAGATATGTTACTGAACCTAAGCCTCCCTAATGTAATGTGAATCTTTGTTAGTCATAATATTGTAAAGTGGGTTACTGGTGTGACATGTGTCTGCTGTGCACTGACAATGGTTACATTTGTGATATGACTGGTAGCATGGCATGACAATATAACAGTGATGTGACTAACACTTGTGTATAATAACTGGAGGCTATGTATTATTGTATGACTGGTTGTGTAATATGTGTGAGAGACATGGCTAGTAACCTAGTATCATTCACTACAGTATGCCACAATCAGTACTGACAGTGTGATAAAATGCCAGTGTAATGTTACTAACAGTTTGATACAGACATAGTGTCACTGGTATGAAGATATGACCATAAGGTGTATAAAGTTACTGTTGTAACGACAAGGAGTGTGGTATGACTTGTTATAACGAGAAATGTGACCACTGGTAACTATAGTGTGACATAAGGATCTAGACTGACAGCTTTTGCTATTATGCCAGCAAGTCTGTCAGATTCGTCCCACTCACACTTAATATACAATACATAAGCATTAAAAATGACAGTACTGTACTTTAACAAGCCCATGTCAACTTACATCTATTGGAGATTTGTCATTAATGTTGGTAATCTCTGCTCAGCTGCTTTAAATACCCAATCTCTAAGACTGTAAACATCATTGGTGTTAAGCCTTCTGCCTCTACATCTACAAACTTACATACTAAATACTGTTACACACACTAGTCTAGCATATGTGACATGAGGAGCTATTTTCACACTTAGCTGGGGCTTCCCTAGAGAAAGATTTTCTTGTTGAAATTTCATCTAAGGTGTGATAGCTTCTCACTGGGCCACATTTAGAATCAGGTACAGAGAACGAGGTAAGCCAAAGTCACGTCACATAAACCATTTACAGGGGTATGGCCATCACTGGGCCGTTCTCTAATTTTCATTATCTTTCTCTCAAAAGTGAAGCAATTTTTATTAAAAGAAAAATCAACATCTTCAAAAAAAATAAAAAAGAATTCTGGATGTGTCAAGATGAGTCATTGCTAAGCTCTTGGTCATCTATATATTATATTTTTTACAGCAATATACTTTTATCTAGTGATTTTATACTATTTTGCTTAGTATACTGTTTTTATTCACTCATCTTGTAGCATACAGTGTCATGGTGTAACATTGGGAAACATTTTGTGTACTACTGCTAAGTTAACAGTGGACATTGGTGTGCACCAGTAACAACGTGTTCTGCTTTGCTTATACTTTGGTCCATGTAATACAATTGGAGAAATTTACCTCCTTCTATGTTATACCACACTAACAAAACTACACAATACGGAACAGCTGTGTCATGTGTGCCTAGACAAAAAGTAACAACCATTCCTCATTAATATTTATTTGTTATAATTTATACCATATATAATTGACATATTATATCAATGTAATATCTTCCCTTGATTATACATAACACACATAAATACATACACCCCATACAACACATAAATATTCATATAATACACCTAGTTATAATCACATTGTAGACAAATATATATACTAACATATACACACATATTATATATATATATATATATATATATATATATATATATATATAACATATATATATATATATATATTTTATATATATATATATATATATATATATATATATACAACATATATATATATATATATATACAATATATATATTATACATATAAAATCTATATACACACACACACGTGCTCATATACAACAGGCCTAGTGTCTAATCGACATGTGCCTAGGACAAAAAGGTAACTAACAACACACACACCTACACACACCTACATACACACAACAGGCCTAGTGTCTAATCGACATGTGCCTAGGACAAAATGGTAACTAACTAACACACACACACACACACACACAGCACACACAACACACACCACACACACCCCCACACACACGTGAAGAGGCAGTGCCAGGAGCTAGGACTCGACCCCTTCAACCTCAACTAGGTGAATACAACTAGGTGAGTACACACACACACACACACACACAGCATCAACCTGGCAACTGTTGTAAATACACAAACATAAATGGGCACACAGCATGAACCTGATAACTGTTGCACACTCATGCACACACACACAAATAGAAGCAGTTTGATGACTGCTGTATATACACACACATACAGTAGTGTATAGGAAACTGCCCCATTTTAATAACTGCCTTCAACAGAGCATTAGAGTGGTCTCTTACAGGTATGAGTAATAATATAGTAAAAAATTGCTAATCTCCTCAGATGGTTTTAAGTAATTAATATGTAAGAAATTTAAAACAATGAGCATCAAGACCCTGGAAAGAATGTCTGAAGGATTTGCAGTATCAGTAAAGTGCACTTGTGGACTGCTGCTGAGCACAATACTGTTGTATAGACTTTCCTGGCTAGTTCAGATTGCTGCTGAGCACAATACTGTTGTATATACTTTCTTGGTTAGTTCACAGATTTGTAAACTGACAAATAACTGGCACAGGATTTTCAACATTGAGTATTTGACAGCATTTATCTGGACTTTCACTGCTTCAGGAATATGAAGTTCTGCAATGCCATCTTAAGCTCGCAGTAATGGATCTGGTCAGAAATGTAAATTGGGGATTAAAGGAAGTCTGCAGGTTGCTCTAGGGAATCTTCGTCAAACTAACGGCTTAAAAACATTTACCCGTATCATGTGGTGCAACTCATGACTATGGTGCAAGGTACTGGGTGATACAATGCAACACATCTACCTGCTAGTTTGGCATACATAGGAACAAGGCAGAGCAGTTAAACCCCCTTAACTCATACACTTAATAAATATAATCCTGATTATTCCCGGTTACATGATTGATTCAAGGGACTGAGCTAAACATGTCATGTCAATATTTCTTAAGATTCAGAAAAACTAAATTATAATTAAACTCACACTACAGGTAGCATCAGGCCCACTGTATTTCTAGGTATGTGAGGCAATCAGATCATACTGTAAAATTAGATATAAGATTCAAATTGAATCTTACTAATATAAATTCTTTACAAGTACCAGTTAACCTTGAACTAAAAAAATAATATTACCTACATATTCAACTGTTTAGTTGCAAAATATAGTCTAACGAGGATTACCAATACAATTATGCGACAACTAGAACTGCCACTAAACTTTACACTGTAGATAAACTACCATTGCCAGTAAAGTACTTTCATGGAAACCTAAGCAAGTGCTCTCACAATTGTCTTAGTTGTATCTCCGACACCAATATATTACTCAAAGAAAATGTCCTGGCTCCCAATCTTCTACTGGCAATTGAATAATTGAAGAAAATCCAATATTCCATCTTACAAACACTCAGGACATTTCTATATTGAGTACACTTTATAAGAGAGATACCTTGGCATGTGTGAATATAGAGCACTGAGTTATGAACAGGCATTACTGGAGTCCAAAGTAAATAAAAAGAAGCCGACAGAGACGATGCATAATGTGGCTGCCACAAATGTTGAGGTCACAGACATGCGATGGTGGCCCACAAATAGTAGTAGTAGTAGTAACAACTAGTTTGTGATGACAGCCAAGTAGTGTGTTTTCCGTATTCTTAATAATGATGTCAAATCATTTTAAATTTAAATTTCTTTTTTAGGTAAATTTTACCATTGTCAAATAAACATCTGCAAATGTGTCATCACCTACACACGAAAGAAATGCCTATCTTTACACACAACTGGTGGTAGGAGGTGGTGCATGTTGTAGTTTTCCATGCCGTGACCACAATGGAGGCAGCCCATGGGACCGTCAGGCTGTCATGGGAGCCTGAGATGATGGGGTTGAAGAGCCAGAATGAGCAGACAAATCATAACCAGAGTTTCGGGGAGCACCACCCTCTGGACGCTTCTGCCTACGTGGATCTGCAGATGATATTGAATTTCTTCTAATAAAAGTAACTCATTACATAGAATTTCAATACAAATATAACATTTAGAAAAAACATTTCAGTCATATAGAAAATCATATTTGAGAGCAAATACAGAAATATCTGTGTGACAAACCTGTCTTCATGTGAATAACCCAGAGTGTAGCTGTCAGACAAACTCCAATCACAAAGGAAGCAAGTGCAATACCCACAACCACCTCAGTGGAAAGTCCACCAAGTACAATTATCTGGGTCTTATCATCAGTGGTGGTGGTGGCTGCTGAGCCCCCAGTGCTGCCATCATTAGCACTCGTAACACTCTTACTTCCACTCATCTGCATATTGCCTCCTGACCAAGCAGCTAAAACATAAACCAATTGAGATTTCACATTTTAACATTTAGTAATGACACAGAGTACTTCAAAGTAGAAACATTACTTTTGATTCATAATCTAGTGAGAAAACTTTATAGCACTTTCAGGTGCATCTTGGATCATTACCAAGTGACTTTACAGCAGTCCAGTATAGACTGAAACATAAAAAAAATTCTTCTTTAAACTTTAAGTTTGTGACACCAATTAGGTACATGATGCTGGTGAGGGAAAAGGACACATACACACACACTTAAAATAGTTTAATACAAAACATTCTGGTGCAGAGATTTTGTTCATTCCCAGGAGTAAAACATTTCCTATGAAAATATCTTAAATGTTTGTACATGTATCCTTTTCCTTGTTTTGGGCTAAGGTTAAATCAATCAAGCCACAGCATTAAAACGTATATTTTTCATTACTTCTGACCCAAATTCAGAAGCTAGATTATTACTGTCCTAGGGTTAAATCTAAAAACTGCCAAACAGAACAATGTTACTGATCAGAGTAGCAATGTTAATAATTATGATAACACTTTTTATCATGGCAAAAATGTTATTGAACGTCATGGAAGCAATATTATTAATCATTATGGTGGCCTCCCTTTTTTTAAACTGATATCCTCACTGCTTATTTTATTCTAACTCATTAGAAGATGGCACTGTCAAATTTTGAAGGAGTTAAGACAATTTTAGGGGTTGCTCGTGAGCTCAGTGTAAAAAGAATGACTAACTGACTCTACATTACCAATAGTATAACACAGAAAAAAAAGTGATAAAAAGTTGAATAAAAAAGTTAAGGTGTTAAATGAGCAGGTAGTTACATTTTACTCACTGCAATATCAGAGAGAGAGAAAATATATATATTCCCAGTAATAAACACAGCTGTACAATACCTAAAAAAAAAAAAAAAATAGCTTCCAAGTTATAGCTCAAGCCTCCCAAAAGATCTAGGAGCTAGAGATCAACACCTCTGAGAATGCCCGGGAGCTTCAACTCAACAAATTTCCCAGCCTAGTATCTGCAGTTTTACATCCTCAAAAGCATCAGCTGCAGATCAACACCCGCAAGATATGCAGAGTTATGGGGCATGGGTTAGGGGTATGCCAAATTATCAGTATTGGTATCAGTGAGTATCAGCTCATTTTAATAGCATCAGAATTATCCTAAAAACAGTATCAATATTGGCAAAAAAAATTTTACTATTGTCCCTGGGTACTTATTTGTAGCTACAAAAGCAAAAGCTAAGCTCAATGTCCTGTCTTCAAAATTTAGTCCATTATAAAGTTGTTTTTATAGTTTCCAGTACTTGTAGTATTTACTACAGCCTCTCCTCTTCAAGGGGGGCTCCTTGGCGTGGTGAAGAGGCTCTTGGTCTGAGGAATTAGCCCTGTCGGTCTTCTTCCTCAGACCAAACCCAATTACCCCCCATTCTCCCCTCCCCTATCCCATCCTCCCCATCCTCCCCTTTTTCCATTCCTCCTCCTCCTCCTCACCCCTCCCTTTTGCCCTTCCTCTTTTTGGCCTTCGGGATTTCTCCCACAGGCGCGCTAGTTCCTAGGTAGGGGAAAGGACACCGGGGTCCATCCCATTCCGTTGAGGTTCTTGGCGGTGGCGTAGTTTGCCGTGGAATCTGGATTGCCTGGGGATGTCCCGATCCCTCTCCGGTATCCCGGAGTAGCTTTGGGTGTCTTTTGGGCGACGGGTGTATCTCTGGAAGCCACCTTTCGGATTCCGGGGGGTGGCCAAAAGGAGGTATGCTTTGGGGGTGGATATCCGGCCGCCCTCTCTTTTGCCCACCGTGGGTAGCTGGGGCAGATGTGAGGTTGCTATCCCGGATTGCTGGTTTTACTGGCATGAAGGGTAGGGTATGGCACGGGTTCCATGCTGCATCTGCGCTACTAGCGGTGTTGAGGTCTTTTGGGCGCGGAGGGAGTTTTTCCGGCCCTTTCTTTCCCTCCTGGGAACTATTCCTCCCCGCTCCCCCTTTTTTTATTCTTTTTTTTATTTTTATTTTCTTTTCTTCTTTCTTTTTTTTTCTTAAAAACAAAAAGCAAAGGAGTAACCTAACCATGGCAGCCCTAGTCATGATAACCACTATCCCCGGGCCCCTTCTTGATACCACACCCCATTCTGACCCTGCCTTGTGTTTAGACCACTCTTCGGACACTCCTGATGCCCCTGTACCTCTTGCTGGTGCTGTTTCCTCACCCGCTTCAGGTACCGAGGCTTCGACTGACTCCTTCGTTTTTGTCTGAACTCCGCTCTCCTTTGACTATGCTTCCGGTTTCTCCCTCTAGGGTACGGCAATTTTCGAATCGCCCGCCCATTTAAATGCCGGACCAACTCCGGTCCTACTCCTAAACGCCAACGTCAATCTCCTGATGATGCTCCTTCGTTCCCTTCCCATTCTACTCGAAAAGACCGACACGTCAAGCACTCCCTCTCCACGCTCAGTTTCGGACCACACAATGGACTAAATTCTTTACTTTAAGACCAACTTTTCTTCTGCCTACCTTTCTGACCATAGTATTGGCAAAGCGCTCCTGCGTCATGTTGGCAGAGATATTTCATTTCACGCTCTCAAGAGCGGTACGCGCATCGTCACTGTCCAAAATGCTACCCAAGCTCATGATCTTTCTCTCCTTTCGAATATCGATACTACTCCTATCACTATTGAAAAACATCTTTTCCTCAATTCTTGTAGTGGTACTGTAATTCTGCCCCATACCATAGTCCAACGAATTTCCAGTCATGTGGCAATGACATTTTTGAACAGGGGAACTCCAGGATCTCCCAATCCTCAAAGTAGACACTTATGTCCTCCTCCCCGGGGGCGGAGACGTTACCCTTGCAATGTGGCTCGTTTAATTTTTGACAGCCGAAAACCCTCCCGTCCTCTGTATATTTCGCGGGACATCGGTTACAAGTTCGAAAGGTGATACCTACACCGCAACAATGTAGAAATTGCTGGCGTTTTGGTCTACCCACGAAATATTGCAGATCTAGGGCCCAAATTTGCCCAGTCTGTGGTGCCGACGACCATTCTAATACATCTTGCAGTCAACCCCCCATCTTGCCTTAATTGTAATGAAGCTCACCCTTTCGTACTCCCGCCTTTTGCCAGGTCTACTTAAATGAACGTGAAATCCGTTGCCTCAAAGAGGCAGAAGGTCCCCCTTATGCTATGGCAGTTACTCATATCCGCCTCCAAGGGAGACTACCCCGTGTTTCTTATTCTCGTGTTTCCAAACGTCCCCCCACTTCTGGGGTCCCATTCTTCAGCAGCCTCCTCTGTGTTACCCCTCCCATAGCCACTACGGCATCTAATCCTTTTGCTGTCCTTGGCTCTGACGCCCCAAACCCTACAACTCAGTCTGTTCTCACATCTTCGCGTCCTTTCCCTCACAAGCCCAGTATCGACAAAAACCTCGTACGACACCTAATTTCCAATCGCCCCTCTACTCAGAAGTCCAAAAAATCCCACATTGCTCAAATCTTCTTTGCCCCTTTCCCTTTCCCCTTCTCCACCTCCACACTTTCCCTTTTTCCAGTCTCTGTACCTAGTTCTTCCCCTCTCTCTGGCTCTATTACAAGTGTGGAGATTCACCCTCCTCCTCGTACTATGCCTTCCACCCCCGTCCCCTCCCAAGTTTCTCCCTCTTCTGCCACCTCCCAGGTTTCTGCCTCTTCTGCCCCCCCCACACTTCATCTCCATCCCTTACACTCTTCCCCCCCCCCTCTACTTTGGTACAGTCCATTACTGTCCCAATCTTTACTCACCCTCCCCCTTCTATCTCCAATTTGGTCTCCCATACATCTTTAAATTCAGAAACACTTGAAGCCATTTCGAATATATTGCAGAGACTAAACCTTCAATGGACACTGATTCACTTCCTGTTCCTTCCTCTTCCCTCTCCTCCATTTTCCCAAACCCCATTCTTCGCAACGCTCCGTTCCTTCGCTACTTGAACATCTTCCAATGCCACCACACTTTGACTTTTCTAACCCCTCTAGTCCGTAGGTGCCTTTACCTACAGATTCCTGATATTTCTTCATCGCCATCATGGCCTATTTACAGGGGGAATATCCGCGGCCTCAGGGGTAATCGGGTGAGCTTCAGATGTGCTTTCCAGGTTTTCCCCTGTTGGGCTTGCTTACAAGAACCAAAATTACACTCGGGCTTTTTTCCAACCTATCTCAGGCTATAATTAATTGTATTCTTCGGATCCTTTCTCAGAGGGGACCTTTAATAAAGTGCCCTTCTTTACGCAATGATATTCCGTAGTGTCCCCTATTTGTCCATACCTCGCTGCATTACACTGCAGCCCGTATCCACTTGAATAAGTGGTTTACAATATGTTCTTTATACTCTCTCCTTCTCGAGCATTTTCTATCCCAGACTTTGCCTTTCTTTTCATCCTTACCACCACCCATTCTGTTACTTGGTGATTTTAATGCCCACCATTTCCTCTGGGGGGGTCTCATTGTGACCACGTGGCATTCAGTTGGAGGCTTTTTCTCACCTCTCACCCCTCAATGTTTTTAAATACGGGGACTCCCACCCCTTTTGATCCTCGTACTCTTACTCTTCTTGCATCGATCTATCAGTCGCTCTTCCTCCACTGCACTAGACTTCACCTGGTCTGTTCTACAGACTTACATGACAGCGATCATTTTCCGATCATTTTACTTCCTCTTCCTATTCACCACCTTTCCGTAGCCCTGTGGAATTTGATCGGAGCAAATTGGGTCTTTATAATCTTCTTTTTTGAGGCCTTCCATCCTTTTTGATAGTTACACCTACTCCTTTAACCCAAACCTTTTACAACCAACTCAAGGCTTCCGTTGGTGCCGTTGTTTCCCGTGCTTTGGCAGTACGTTTAAAAGGCGCGAGAGATTCGTTTAAAGAAGCTGCGAAGCTCCTTTTTAACGAAAAACCCCACGTGTCGACCTTTTTTCCCTAACCCCGCCTTTTGGGAGGAAAAATTTAATATTTTCTTCCTAGGCAGTCTGGAAAAGTGGGTTGTGTAGAAACCTCTCCTGACCGCTCCTGTTACACCTGGTGTATGAGGGCCCAAAACCCCTCGTTCCCCCTAATGCTTGCCAAAATTGTGCCCGGGGCTCCTCTAGGCGTTTTTTCCTTTAAACTTCCCGAATTGGCACCTTGGCTTTTCCATCTCAGGGCCAGATATTTCTTTTCCTTTACATTCAGACCCTTGGGAACCTCTCACTTCCTAGGCAGGGCTTACCATTCATATTTGTTGTTCAACTTTATCCGGAAAACTTTTGCCCTTAATCTTCAAATTTTTTGCAACGGGATTTCCAGCTGTGGAATCCCATTGTTCCCCTTTCCAAGTGGGATTAGGAAGAGCTCCAACATCCCTCTATATATGGGGTTTCAAAGTGTCACCTCTCGTAATGACCTTTAAGTGGTTTTAAGACCAAAAGTTTCCTAGTCAATTGCCCTTTTTAAGGTCGTATTCAAATTGACCTTACCAGGATCCTAATTCGGAAGGGTTAATTTCCTAGAACCATTTTTTACCCGGGAAAGGGATTACCACTTGGGGTTAATAATTTGGCCCAGGCTTCCTTGGCCTCCAGGAATTTTAACATCTTCCTTTTCCTTTTAACTGAAGGCTTTGTGTTCAGCAATAATTTTTTCCCCCTTTTAAGCTGTTTCCCCAGGGATGTGTTCTACCCAAAATTTTCCTTGCTTAATGGATGCCTTGTTCTCCCAATTTGGTCACACCTTTTTTACTTGCCAGTTGTAAATCTTTCTGTCACTATTGATTTCTCCACATGTTGTCACCCTTTGTTCCTTGGCCACCAACGTTGGTTTTAATTTTTTGCCCTTACCCAAAAATCACAAATCTTTAAAACCAATAAAACTTCTAACCCTTTATCTTTCCCACCCTTTTTCGAAACTTGGGCCCGTATCCCCGAATATCAAAACGTTTTGGTTCATTTTTCCAGTCGTACCTGCCCCCACATCTCTCTAAAATTTCACAGCCGGTTAAATTTTCCTTGTCACTTTCCTGGGCTTTCGTTGAACTCTTTCGCCACATTCCTCTTTTATCGAAACGCGTTATGGCCCTTTATTGAGGGCCCCCTGTACCATCTATCCTTAAATAAATTCACCAAGGAATTACGTTTGTTGGGCCGCTTTCCCGTAGGGCTCTGCAAAGCGAATGTTCTCCGTCGTCGCCCTATGCCCTTGTGCTATTGACTCTCACTTACAATCCTTTCCCTTTGGTGGTCCGATGTGCTCTTATGTGCGCCCCGTTGCTCCGCCTTTTCTTGCCACTTCACTTTCTTCCCGTTACCATGTTAGCAGGGGGTCCTTTCCCTCCCCGGAAGTAGCTGTTCGGGTTTTTCTCACTCCTTTCTCGAAGTCAACGCTACGGGGCTTCCCTCCTTTTCTGTCACTTCCTATCTCAGCCCCCGTGTGTCAAGGCAAATTTGACGGCGTCCATTCGGCAGTGTTCCGGCGGTGGCGGGGGACTTTCTACCAGCTAGTTTTTTGTGGATCTTTTTAGCACTTTGTCGATAGCGGCATCAGGGGGTAGTCCCGACCCTTTGGGTTTTAGGTTTTTGAAAATTTGGCATGCACCCCTGTCTCCGTCCAACTTTGGTCGGGTCTTACCCAAAAATAAGAAGTGGTTTGGGGGTCCTGGGTCGAGGGGGGAAGAAAGGGACTGCTGCGCGGTCCGACATGTACCTATTTATGAGGGTCATTGGTATTTTGGGATGCTCCCCCTTGACCGGTGAAGGTTGGCAATCTGCCGGACCCTTCATTCTAAACCCGGGAATTTGGCCTCCTTGTCTCGTGCGAGGTGGGGCCATCTTCCCGCCTTCGCTTGGGTCACCTTTAATCTGGGTCTCTCATGGAGACAACCCTGTTCCCGGGAGAAGTTCCAGTCGTAGGCCAAAGTTTGTGCCCTTTACCGGCAGCGGGTTTACTCCAACGGTCTTCTTCTTGCCTTTCCCTCCTTTGCCCCGGGAATGCCTTATGGGGCTTTTTGATTTAAAGGATTACTCCACTCGGATTTTCCATTTTTTGCCTTTTAGTATTTTGGTGCCTTTCCCTTCCTCCTGGCCCGGTATCCGAAGATATATATTCCTTTGCACTGGCCTCCCCCCTTGGGGCGTTTAGTCCTTGTCCCTTTGGTTTTTTTTTTATAATATATAATTCACTGTAACATTTATTAATTACCATTTTTTTTATAGTATTATTTTGGTAGCCGTTCTTCCTTACTTGGTAACTATGGAGTCTTATGCCAAGTGATGGAGTTAAGTTGCCTTTGTCAAATCTTTCACAACATACTTTACTTTCATAATTTTAAATATGGTTTTTTCATGTCTCCTCTTTTCCTCCGGTCAGAAAAACATGACATGTCCAGTACTTTCTGCCTTCAGAAATACTGGACAAAATTCCACTGGTTCAACTGATTTACATATAATGAACAAAGTCCATTGCTTACAAAAGTGTCCGATATTTTTATGACAGCAGCAAAACATTCTCTTCTCTATCCTCCACATATGCAATTACAGTCCACCTGCAATTTCCCTTTAATACTCCAGGAAATCGAAGTTTTGCTGTACAAACATGAGCCCAAAGCCAATTGAACAAGCAATCACTGCAACTGACTTACATTTGGTGCTTGAATCCATGGAGAATGGTCCCAGGGTCAGTGTCTGTAGTGAAGATGATGAAGACTGACTATCAAATGCTCTCATCAATGTTGACTGACCACAGTAATGTCCTGGGTCTATACACTGAAGAAAAAATGTGCACAAATGTTAGAATATAAAAAATTATGGAAAGATCATTAATAAACTTCATTGTTTTTAATAAAAATGAAATAACTGTATTGGCTAGCTTCACTGTTGAAGCTTGAGAAAAAATTATAATTTTTCTACATAAAATCATCCATGTATCATTCAACCAGTATGAGAGCTAAACAAGGTTGGATAGAGTAGCAGAGTACTGGACCTGTTAATGTTGGGACCATAGTTCAAGCCTCTCATCCATCTTCCTGTTTATTCATTGACAGAAATTTGGTATAACTTAATTTGAGTTTATTATATATTATAGTTGATAGGAGTGCAGGGCATTATCAAATATGGTATAATAATTTAGTGTCTTACGACTCTGGCAAAATTTTCATGTGTCTTTCATGTTAATACACATCAAATTGACAAGTTTATTACACAGATTTTAATAGTGTAAATATTATTACATTTTCAAAGCACAAAATAATGATGTAGCATACAGCATAGAGAAATTGTAATTTTGTGTATATGTATGTGTGTATTGCAAGATTTCAGGTACGTCTTGCTACTTCTACTTACACTTAGGTCACACTACACATACATATACAAGCATATATATACACACCCCTCTGGGTTTTCTTCTATTTTCTTTCTAGTTCTTATTCTTGTTTATTTCCTCTTATCTCCATGGGGAAGTGGAACAGAATTCTTCCTCCGTAAGCCATGCGTGTTGTAAGTGGCGACTAAAATGCCGGGAGCAAGGGGCTAGTAACCTCTTCTGTATACATTACTAAATGTAAAAGGAGAAACTTTCGTTTTTCCTTCTGGGCCACCCCGCCTCGGTGGGATGTGGCCGGTGTGTTGAAAGAAGATGTATATATGTACGTGTGTGTGTGTGCATGTGTGCGTGTGCACATGTGTGCATGTGTGTGTGTGCATGCGTGTGTGCGTGCGTGTGTGCATGCGTGCGTGTGTGTGCACGTGTGTGTGTGTGTGCACATGTGTGTGTGTGTGTGCACATGTGTGTGTGCATGTGCACATGTGTGTGCATGTGCACGTGTGTGTGTGTGCATGTGCACATGTGTGTGTGTGTGTGTGTGTGTACTCACCTAGCTGAGGTTGCAGGGGTCGAGTCCAAGCTCCTGGCCCCACCTCTTCACTGGTGTGTGTGTGTAGGGACACACTGAGTGTGTGTCGGTGAGATAATTTATGGCAGTTATCAGTTTGAGATGTGTTACAATTGGGGAATAAAGAATTTCATGAGAATTAATCCTAATATGTCATGATTAGACATTGAATTACGTCTAGGGAGTGTCCACTCGTGATAAAGAATCAACGACGGTGATCGTTGACGACTCCCAGAAGCTGATAACACAATAAGAAGACACCAGCTTGTTCCCACACTGTCACAAAACACTTCATAGTGGTGACTCACTGTCATGGTAAGATTGCTTAGTGTGTCAGATTGGCTACTTCTGCATGAGAAGTGTGAGGGTTGCATCATCATGTAAAACCTTAAGCCATGTGAGCCACAGAACACTGCAATCTTACTGTCCATTAAATATTCCTATGTACCAATAAACAAACTCACACAATCTGTTCATTCATATCTAAGCAGTTTTTACACCTGAGAATTAATGATCAGGATAGGAATTACCATGGTCAATAAAAAGGTCACTTTGAGGATCAGTGAAGAATACACAATGTGAGAACTTAAGGATAACTGAATCAGCATATTGCTTGACAATCAAACATTAAAACTGCATTGTATTTTGAGTCTTAGAAAATGTTAGTAAGTAAGTAAGTTTGTAAGTAAGTTTATTCAGGTATACACAAATACAGTTCAAAAGAATTATCATACATAACAGCATATGTGTAGAGAACCTAGGATAACCCAAAAAAGTCAGACAGAGTAAACTTATTTCCATTGGGGTCCTTTTACCTTATTATTATAAATATAAAAGTTATAATATTTTCTTATTATTCTACAATGAAGATAACATTATCATACTAAAAAGACTATCTACTACACGAGGGTCATTAAGACTATCTACAATATGAGGGTCATTACTAGGAATAAGGTAAAATTTACACGTATGTTAGCTAAAAAATAGAAAATCATTCCCCTCCCTTTCTGTAGCTACATTCATCAGACACCTTTTGGCACTCTTCTTGAACTGGTTCATGCTATGACTTGCTTTGACATGTGCGGGTAGTCTGTTCCATTCCTTTATTGCTGTACAATAAAAGGTGTTTGATGCCTGGGGCCCCTGACTGTGGGTACTACAAACACCTGTGTGGTATTTCAAACACCTGATGCAGAAATGTTTTTATTTCATTGTTGAGAGCCCATTTAAAATAGAGCATTATATTTTAGGAAAAAAAAATAGAATCACTGAAAGAATACTATGATAATTTTACAAAAAAATTATCAGTTTCACAAACGGAAACTATATAAATTTACCCGATTAACAGCTGGACGAGGGAGAGAATCAGCTGAACATACTCCAAGCTGACAGTGAAGATAAAAGTAGCCTAAGTAGGTGTACTCTGCAAGAACCTGTTGAAACAGAAAACAATTATGAAAGAGGAATTTCCTGTATTGTTTCTAATTATAGTATTCCTTATAAGAATGAACACAGTATTCAAACAGTCTTTAATATATTCTTTTTCAAATGATTTAATTCTTTTAACCAGGGTTCCCCAACCTGCAGCCTGCGAGTCATATATGGCTCTTCTAGGAAATGGATGTGGCCCTCACATGAAATTATGAATTCACTTCTATGTAGGTTCCACACTATAGTGTCAACAAAACTGTGTGGCTATCATCACACATTTGACCATCAAGTACATAGGAAGGTCGAGGACCACGGCTGTATACCATCTCTTTGGGATTGGGGTAAAGCATACTATTTGTCTTGTGAAATCATAATAATGCAATTGCAAACAACTCCCAGAATGAGTGGAAATAGAATCCATGGCACACCAGTCCTGTGTGCCCTGCTAGTTCTAGGACTAGCTACCATGGGTTCAAATCCACATGTTCTACAAGTTACACTCACATAGCTTCTTGCAAATTTCCTTCAAACATTTCCACTATGGAATCCACCATGTTCATCACTTACCAATTTTTCAATTATTTTTCAAACTAATTTACTATCCAGTAATTCACTAGTTTACACACAATATCCCCATTATTTTAAACAAATAAAAAGAGTATAAGGGATATGAGTAGATTTTTAATATTTTCTTACACTGGAATTGCTAAGTTGGGAGCCAACCTACAGTACATAGTGGAATACAGCATCAAACATTCACTAAGTTAAGGTGAGTACTGAGAATAAAATATAATATACATTACCTGAAGCTGAAGCTGGATGTCTGACTGTGGAACAACATCGGCTCCAAACCCACTGAGGGGCGAAGAGGACACGACTTCCTCACCAGAGATTCACGAGGGGCACCGGGACGCCCTGGAGCTGAACTGTTGCTCAGCCAACAGTCCTCAAGCACAACTCGCAGGTCTGCATCATATGCCTCAGTCCATGGCATGACTGGGGCATAAAAAAAATTAGTTTTTACTAAGAGTGCATATGCACAAACAATTTGGAAATTAGAACATTATTCTAACATCATCTTTCTTTCAACAAACCGGCCATATCCCACCAAGGCAGGATGGCCCAAAAGAAAAAAAAACGAAAGTTCCTCCTTTTAAATTTAGTAAATATATGCAGGAGAAGGGGTTATTAGCATTTTGCTTCCATCATTTCAGTCGCCTCTTATGACACGCATGGCTTACGGAGGTAGAATTCTGTTCCACATCCCCATGGAGATGAGTGGAAGTAAACAAGAACTAGTAAGAAAATAGAAGAAAGCCCAGAGGGTTATGTATTACATGTGCTTGTACAACAGACCAGTCCAAAAAATACATGTTAATTTTAAAACTTCAAAGGAAATGTGCTCCACAATGTAATTTTTATTCCACCATGTGAGCCTATACTGTGTGCCAAAACTTCAATCATTTCATGCATGTTTAAAGGTTGAGCAAAACTTCATCTTTGGTTTCTTTCTATCACAGATGGCATCCTCAGCACAAAGTACACGAAGTGCATTGGAACAGTGGTTAGTAGGGTGTCCCCTCGAGTTTTTCTCAACTGCCCGGCTTCCGAAGTGAGGTGACGTACTTTGCATGTCAATTCTTTCACCTGAAGCAGAACCTACTCTCACTTTTTGTTGCCTTCATCTACATTCGGTTCTGAAACGAGGATCCGCGTGGTGTACAAGCCCCTTGCAATGACTTGGACTTCCTCCAAACCCTTAGAGTGTATCCGGACAAAGAGATCACGAATGCTGCTGCTATCACCTTTGCATGCCATCTCTGCTATCTGGCGGAGCACCTGGTTGAATTGGCGTTCTTCAATGAGAAAGTGGACATTGAGACAATGTGCAAGATGGTGACCAACCTCAAGCAGGAAAAGAAACCACGGTGCCCCCATCGCTTGCAAGGTGTCCCAGAGATCGGAGTTGGACTGAAGGAGTTTGTGAGTAAGAGAATGCTGAAGATGTTTAACATCATTGCTGAGCATAGGAAGGGGAAGGAAAAATCTTCCTTCTAGAATGAAGACCCCGAAACGTGGGAGATGAACACAACATTCCTGGAAATAAAGAAGTCTTGTGGGATGTTTGAAGGTCGTGAATGATGCAGCAGAAAGAGCCTTTCTTAGTTCAGACCAACACGTCGCTGATCAAGGCCGAGGAGCAGAAACAGTACCCTCTTCACCTCATGGCAGATCGCCATTGCTGCTTCCCTGATTCTACAGGGAGAGACTAATGAATGAGGGTGATTGCTGAATTTTAGAGGGACAGATTGAAGTCCCACTTTATTTCATCATTCAAGTAGGCATGAGGAAGCATTATTATGAGTGAGTGAGCAGAGCAACGTCTTACTGGCAGTTGGTGTGACAAATGAGCGACCTGACACGGCCTGACCCAACCCGACACGACCAGATGCTTTTGAGAGGCAAATAACTTTTTTACTATATAGGAGAGAGACCTAATTCCTTTTGAATCAGATAGTCTCATGAAATAAATTGTTATTAAACATTTGTTTCACTGAAATTCCATGGGAACCCCCAGAAAAACCATGGTATTTGAGGGGATGTTTGGCCAAATTTCAATGTTTGTTCAACTTGAGAAGCGAATTGCGTGAGATTTTCTGTTGTGACACTTTACTGAATTCAAAAGAGAAAAGATGGGAGAATACAATTAAGAATTTGCATTAATGTTTTTTTCAACTTTTAGTGGGAGAAATCAGCTGGGGAAAATTCCCATTTTCAGTGATTTTTCAGTTGAATACATAATTCAGTGGTTGGCGAAGGTCGATCAAAACCAACGATTTCTCATCCAAGAATTCATGACAAGCACATGCTTTATTTAAACTGAGTGGTACCTCCTCTTCAATGCACATATACATGTACCTGCTTGCTCATTTCACGCTCAACAAAGTGCTAAAAACTGGATATTGATTCAGTCATTCTGCTTTCAGAGAACATAGGAGCTATGCTATGTGAAAGAGAAAAAAAATTAAAATTTCTTCAGTTTTTCTTCTGTTGGCGACAGATGCCTTTTTGCGCAACCCCCAAAACTGAATGAAATTTCCTGAAAATTGGTGTGAATGTTACTTAGGAAACAGTGTAACAAAATAAAACTTGTGGAGCAAACAATTTCACAACTTTTATTTTTTTGGACCAGTCTATTGTACATGTATGTGTAGTGTAAGTAAAAGTAGCTAGATGTACCTGAAATCTTGCATGTTTTTTTTTTTCAACAAACTAGCCATATCCCACTGAGGCAGGGTCACCTAAAAAGAAAAATGAAAGTTTCTCATTTTAACTTTAATAATGTATACAGGAGAAGGGGTTACTAGCCCCTCGCTCCGGCATTTTAGTCACCTCTTATGACACGCCATGGCTTACGGAGGAACAATTCCTTTCCACTTCCCCATGGAGATAAGAGGAAATAAACAAGAACAAGAACTAGTAATAAAATAAAAAACCAAGAGTGGTGTGTGTGTATGTATATGCTTGTATATGCTGTATATGCTTGTATATGCTGTGTAGTGTGACCTAAGTGAGGGTAACCCAAAAAAGAAAATACTTTCATCATCATTCAACACTTTCACCACACTCACACATTATCACTGTTTTTGCAGAGGTGCTCAGAATACAACAGTTTAGAAGCATACACATATAAAGATACACAACATATCCCTCCAAACTGCCAATATCCCAAACCCCTCCTTTAAAGTGCAGGCATTGTACTTCCCATTTCCAGGACTCAAGTCCGACTATATGAAAATAACCGGTTTCCCTGAATCCCTTCACTAAATATTACCCTGCTCACACTCAACAGATCGTCAAGGTCCCAAGTACCATTCGTCTCCATTCACTCCTATCTAACACGCTCACGCACACTTGCTGGAAGTCCGAGCCCCTCGCCCACAAAACCTCCTTTACCCCCTCTCTCCAACCCTTTCGAGGATGACCCCTACCTCGCCTTCCTTCCCCTATAGATTTATATGCTTTCTATGTTCATTCTACTTTGATCCATTCTCTCTAAATGACAAACCACCTCAACAACCCCTCTTCTGCCCTCTGACTAATACTTTTATTAACTCCACACCTTTTCCTAATTTCCACACTCCGAATTTTCTGCATAATATTTACACCACACATTGCCCGTAGACAGGACATCTCCACTGCCTCCAACCGTCTCCTTGCTACTGCATTTACCACCCAAGCTGTAGCAAGGAGACGGTTGGAGGCAGTGGAGATGTCCTGTCTACGGGCAATGTGTGGTGTAAATATTATGCAGAAAATTCGGAGTGTGGAAATTAGGAAAAGGTGTGGAGTTAATAAAAGTATTAGTCAGAGGGCAGAAATGTAAAAATGAAGTCAAAATATCACTTAGTCTATCTAAATAATATTTTATTTTAAAGTTTTGAGTGGTAAATAATAAATGAACATTTTCTATGCATAATATTTGACAATCTGGGACCTAATCTAAGCAGAATGTAATGAACTAAGATCAGTGAAACAGTTTTGCAAAATTATTATTATTTTTTTTTTATTATCACACTGGCCGATTCCCACCAAGGCAGGGTGGCCCAAAAAAGAAAAACTTTCACCATCATTCACTCCATCACTGTCTTGCCAGAACCCCTCAAGGAAGGTTCCTTGATGTTGGTGAGGGGCTCTTGATTTAGGGTATTGGACTGTGCTCCCGGTTCCCGAATTAAGATGAATGCCTTCCACATCCCCCCCAGGCGCTGTATAATCCATCGGGTTTAGCGCTTCCCCTTGATTATAATAATTAATGTCTTTCCCGAAGGGTGCTTTACACTACAGTTTTTAAACTGCAACTTTAACACCCCTCCTTCGAGTGCGGCACTGTACTTCCACTCCCGGACTCAAGTTCGGCCTGCCCGGTTCCCCGAACCCCTTCATAAATGTTAT